TCTGAGGTGCCTGCGGGAGGTTACCGTGGTGCTATCTAACGACATCCATGTAGTATGTCCTCCGCGGAATGTCCGTGCAGCGCCGCCACGTAACATATGTGCGCCCATGGGAGCCGCCACTGCCGACTAAACTCGCAATCGCATTCACTGCCGCATGTTATGTTTACCCGGCGCAGTTTTGAATGAGGAAACGTAACTAACCAATAAGGCTCATCAGACAGACAACCCAGAACGGTTGGTGCAAGTAAATGGGCTATGAGGACATTCCCTGCGAAATCGCTCGGCTGTGCGAAAATCGAAGCCACTGAGTTCACCTCCGCTGGAACAGAAACTGTGCTCATGCACCACCTAGCTCTTATGCTGTTTATTTCGTGCACAACACTGCTTACCCTATCAAGCAAGCAGGTGAACAGAGTGAGCAAGGATGACCTCTCCGACAAATACTCCTTAAGATGCTTGTTCTCATTCTCCACCCTCTTTGTTGTGTGGCATCCAAAAAGCACAGCATCCCTTTGTGTGTGAGCCTTCCAAGAGTCTGCTTGTTGGAGCTTGGTAGCGCACAAATACTGATAGCTTTCCGGCTTCGCACGTCGCACCGCGTTCAATAATCTTTCAAACAAGGACGCATCACGAGTATATATCAGGTTATGAAGCCACCCGCGTAATTGCATTCGGCGAGCATCTGAGATACCACGTATGCGACCGCAACATCTAGCCTTGTCCACTTTAACATGGTACTGGCAAAACGCGACTTTAGCTTTGGGATAAAAACGTCTCTAAGGGATCGGGCATGGCGTACGTATAAAAGCAACCCCAGCGTAGAAAACTGGACGGAATACGTTTCGCATCGCAACTACTGTGTGCTTTTGGTTCGCGAAGACAAGAGAACGCATCAGCAGGAGCTAGCCAAACGATTCTGTTCGAACAAAAAGCTTCTTTACAAACATGTGAATGGACTTCGCAAGGTGCAACGGGGAATCCCACCACTTAATACGACCAATGGGTATACACATACTGCGAAGGAGGCGGTCAACGCATTACGGGCCCAGTACTCCCCAATCTTCCAAGGTGTACAAGCCTCGACGTATATTCCGCCACTAGTTACCCCACCGCCCGTTTTATCCAACGTCACGTTCACTGCAGAAATGGTGCTGCAAAAGCTGCTATCCTTGCGTCCACACAGCTCTCCCGGGGCCGATAACATTCACCCGAAAACATTACAGGTAGCTGCCATCCACTTGGCCGAACCACTAGCTGCATTTTTTCAGCGCTGTTTCGATGAGAACATCGTACCTTCGGAGGTGGAAACAAGGTGTAATAACGCCCATATACAAAGCAGGAAGTCGATCGGATCCTGCCAATTACCGCCCCGTAACGCTTCTGCCTGTGATCGCCAAAGTCATGGAAGCGGTGATAGCAGATGCGTTAATGGGATACTTGGAAAACTACGGCATAATTGCGCCAGAACAGCATGGGTTTCGTCAACATCGTTCATGTACGACGAATCTGCTGTTAGCTCGTGACAACTGGACCGAGACTGTCGATGAGGGAACAGGAGTCGATGTTACATTCTTGGACTTTTCGAAAGCCTTCGATCGCCTGGATCATCGAATCCTGCTCATTAAACTCCAACAGTACGGTATCGGAGAGCCGTTGTTAGGATGGATCGGTAACTTTCTCTCTGAACGGCAGTTAGTAGTTAGAGTTCGATCATCCTTTTCCGATCCGATTCGAGTGGGATGCGGCGTACCGCAGGGTTCTGTACTTGGGCCTCGTTTGTTCCTGCTTTTCATTAACGATCTAGTAAGAGTTATTACGTCGAAATTCTTACTCTTCGCGGACGACCTCAAGGTTTGGCGGGCGATAAAACGATCGGACGACCATGAAGTCCTACAGCGTGACTTGAATGAGGCCTGGAATTGGTCGGTGAGAAACGCCCTGCCGTTTAATGTGGACAAATGTCGCGTTGTTCATATCCGCCATCGACATGTCCACGTCTACAAGCTTGGGGCACACGATCTGAAGACCACCACTCAGGAACGCGACTTGGGTGTGCTGGTACAGGAAGACCTCGGGTGTTCCAAACAGTCAGATTCCGCTTCTAAAAGGGGCAACCAGCACGTTGGACTCCTGCGAAGAGCATTCGGAATTTTGGATCCATCCATCTTCTCTTTGATGCTGAATGCCTACGTGCGTCCTCACGTCGAATACGCAATCCAGGCCTGGCAACCCTGGCTAAAACGTGACTTTGCAGCGCTTGAGACCCCACAGCGTCGAGCAACGAAAATCGTCAAGGGCTTGCGCCACACTCCTTACCAGGAACGACTGGAGATACTCCGAGTGTTCAGCGGACGGTACCGGCGACTTCGTGGAGACCTCATACTAGTGTACCAGATATTGAGCGATCCCAGTCACGTATGCCGCCACCTCTTGAAGCTCAGCCCGAACACTAACCTTCGCGGTAACAGTTTAAAGCTGAGCCAACAGTACAGTCGTCTAGACTGTCGGAGAACCTATTTCTCCCTCCGGGTCTGCGGGCCCTGGAACGCCCTTCCAAACTCAGTTGTATGTGCCCCCACATTAGATACGTTTAAAAAACGATTGGACGTCGCACTGAGCGCCCTGCGCTTTGTTTTATGAACGAAAACGCTTGTATATATTTAGGCTGACCAGCCTCTTTGGATTTATACCCCAAATTCACGGTCGTAAATCTGTGCGAACCGGTGAGTGGAAATGGTTAGTGATGGCACAGCCTCTAATCGTAGAAGAAATTTCCACGTGTGTTGGATCACTGTGTAGGGCTGGTAAATCCGGTTCGAATGAGCGTACAGTAAAAACACTGTGAGAAGATGGGGAGAGGATAGAGGGGAATAATCCAAATGCACCAGGAGCACGCACTTCACGCGTGTGCGAGGATGACCTTGAATCACCGTTTGGTGAGCAACGGAGTAGACAATGCCTGATAGACTCTACGTCCTACGTATGAAACGCAGTCCTGCTATACTTTACTTAGAAATGTTCACTTTAACATGGTACCGGCAAAACACGATCTTCGTTTTGAGATAGAAACGTCGAAACGCCCGCAACTGCGCAGCACACTTATCCATCACCACGGTGCGGCGACGTATGCTGCTAAGCACCATCTCCCGCATCGCCTCCACCGCTTGCCCATAGCTATAGGACGTCTCATCCGGTAATAGGGCGTAGAAGAAAGAAATCCCTAGACCTCTGACGTCCACGAACATGCAATGCCACAATATGTACCCACCATAATTTAACTGGTGTGTCGCGTAGCACAGTAACACCTCGTCATAACGCATAACCATGCCATGGACAACGGCTGGAGAGAAGAAAATATACCGAAGCTGGCTACCCTCAGACACCAATCGGCAAACACCGTGACCTTCCTACCTCGTTGCTTCCTCAGACATTTCACATGACGTTCTATTTCGATGACGAATGCGCAGGTTACTCAGGTCCATACGGGTTACACTTTTGCCGTATCCCTGATAGATGAAGCGCCACAAATCCGGCGTGCTGTGAAAACTGTCCATCAAACGCAGCACTTCCTT